AGGCAGAAAGTGCATTATACAAATAATAATAATCAAAATAATAGCAGACATTTTTTAACAATGACCACAATATCATTATCTTAATAAACCAAATATGAACAATTGAGGAAAATGAGGAAGAACTGATGATTCAAATGTTGTAGTACAAGTAGTAATGTAGTTAGTGCATACATTACTATTGCAACAAATGTGTTAATTTTCTTCATTATACAGTATGTCGATTTTTTTTGGACGAATGCTCCGGGACAGTGGTTACAATGGTGGGGCCAGTGATAATACAATTCCATGCCCGGAGGGCCAGTGGCATTTTACCCTTAATTTCTACCCCTGCCTGTGCTATAATGCTTCAATTAACTGGTTATTCTTTATAATATACTCAGATCAATAGGAGACAGAGATGTTAAGTTATAGATCAAGGGTTTTTATTATTATTTACAGCAGGGGCGGGGAACCTTTTTCCTCTCAAGGGCTGAACGATTATACTTTTTTGTTCTTCTTGTGTGTCAGTCATCCACACCAATCATAAGTGCTGTGCTCCACATGTACCAGTCATTGTTAACCAATCAGAAGTGGCCCATATAGGTGATAGACAGATTGATCCAATCACCTGCCAAGTATTTTTGAAATACTTTTCCAAATGGCTTCCAATGGAGCTTTACTAGATGGTTTGGTGAAACAAACCATCTGAGTCAGGTTAGCAATGCTCCATCACATGTTTCTATTACAGGGTGAATCTTAAACTGAAGCTTGACTTTAAAGCAACCCAACGGAAGTTTAATGTAAGTTTAGTTCTTTCACTCGTAGCTCGGGCTGCGGGGGTGCTAGAGACGGGAGCACATTGATGCGACCTTCCTAGCCGGAGATAGTGCCGCATTTTACAATAAACTTCCGTTGGGTCGCTTAAAAACAAATATCGCAAATCGAATCGCAATCATACTTTCTGTAAGAAAAACGCAATTAGATTATTTCCCAAATCGCGNTCAGGTTGTAGGTAGTTAATCGACTGCAAGACGGTGATACTATACCGGAGACGGGGAGGCCATGGCGTCCTGGTGCGGTCCTGAGTTGTGGAGAAATACAGGTTTCACGCGAGTCGCGGCAACGCTCCAAGCGGCGATTGTCAAGTTACTCGCACGAGGGGCGGGGACAGTGTGATCGCTGTGTACGAACGGTCGGATTTGTTGTTATCCCGCGACGAACCCCGTTTTATCCGCGACGACCACAACCGCCGTTTCATGTATCTGTAAAACGTCATCTCTAAATCAACGCCATAATTTTGTATAAAATGGTCATATCAGGCATTATGTAAATGGCGAGATGCCGGGGATGTGTGCCGCCGCACGCACAGCGAACGGCGCCCCCCGACTTTGAGCTGGTTGTTGGTAGTGTACTTAGAGGCGGGGCCTGTTGTTCGCGCCAAAATAACCGATCTCGAACATGACCGTATACTAAGCTAACCGACTGCCGAGGCCAGTTCCGCAGTTTTTCATCTGTACGAGATGAAAACGTCGACTCGTGGCGCCTCTTCTTCGATGCAAACGAGGGGCCGGTGTTACGTCAACCGCTTAGCACGTAGTGGGGTAAGTCCACTACCCGTCTGTCGCAACTTCGGCCGTTGCGTGCCGCGGAGACACATGCCCCCCGGCAATCTTCTCAGGAGTGTTGTCTGTACCACAGTTTTTCCTCATTACACACCGTATGCTACTACTGGATATATACTGCTGAGTAACTATAACTAATTAGATAAGCTAATTACCTTTGCTATTAGCTGATAAGCCTGAAATACGGAACGTGTTAAAGAGTTTGCGAGAGAAAATCGGTAGTTGAAAATCTAAATCGAACTCCGACAAAAATCCGTACACCTTTGGTTTGTTACTTCCGTTTGATTTATACTTATGAACTAAAGTTTTTCAATGTATAAGTAGCTTAATTGCATTTGTGTAAAACTGGTTTAATTGTAACGAAAAACTTATATTTATTATTATAAAAGGGTAGTTTCTGTCGACAAAATTGTTTAGCATAATTTATTAGACTACTGTCCTTGACATTTGTCTTATTCCGCTTTGAAAATTGATTTATTTATTGAGTCAATCGAGATTAGCACATTGGGTACAAGACATATTACACAAGTCACCAAGAGTTGACCTCCACAGCGCCTGGGCAAAGCTCCCAGCGTCTACACACTCACTTCTTAAACTCTTTTGGTAAAAAAAAAAACCTTTTCCAGTTGAAAATAAAAACTCCGGTAAGATGCGAAACGTACGTCATCCGCGACCTGACCTCCCAACGGCCTCCTCGGATTTACCGAAAGAAGGTTATTTTGCAGAAACGACGTCCAAAAAAGCTCAGAAGACCGGTTAGCTCTTAGTTCTAACAAACGCCTTGTCAGGGGTGCCCTCATTACCCGAAACGCCATCTTGAGAAGAAAATATGAGGTACCCCATGTGAAGCTCATTTTACTATTGTATTACTTTATCCTGGGGACCAAACGTACTAACTGTCCAGGTCTGTTAACCCCGATAGATGGGTGTTAAATCTTTCCATTCATGTGTCTGATAGAGGAGAAATGAGAAGGAGCGTCGTTCTTACAGACTTGTTCACTTGTTGTTTGTTACCGTAATTTTATAATAATTTTACAACCCCAGCATTATCTTAAATCAAATAAAAGAAGAGTCTCACAAGGACTTACGCAGCAAATATACAGTCATTAAATTTTTTAGAGGGACCCCTTAGGGGGTCTGGGACGACCCACTCCAAAAAGTCGTACACAACGGAAAACATATGTCCAAGGTCGAAACTACAGGGTAGTATAGTAATTTGGAATAAAGTTTTCCGAAATGAAAACAAGAGCACTTTCCCTATATTCCATAATATACGTTAGACATGAAGTAGAAAAAATTAATTACCATACGACTTTTCGCATATAATGCCCGTGGTAAAAAACAACTTGATCATAAAACTCACCAAAGTTTTAAAGCCGGCTAGATAACCTGATGTCCTTTTTCACCAGGGCTCCGGAACCTGCTCTACACTGTGTCGGTAAGTATAACCGGACGCGAGAGAGAGAGATCAGCACCTGCAGCTCTGCCCGCTGTGAGGGACCGGTGAGCGGAGCAAAACACATCTTTAGACGTCACCTAACACATTTAGCTATGGCACTGTCGTATACTTTGAATTATTCAATTTCATAATATGTAATCAATTCAGGCATCCCTCCCAAAAAAATAAAAAAAATAAAAAATAAATTAATAAATCATATTCGAATACCCGAATCATTATTCGAATACCTGAATAATTTCGAATATTCGATTAATCGTTCCCATCCCTACTATAGGGAAATGTCCCAGCAGTTTAGGATAATGAAGTTCCTAATCTAATCTATTACATAGCCATTACATTTCTAACTCCTATTGACAGGAAGGCAGAAAGTTCATTATACAAATAATAATACTCATAATATCAGACATTTTTTAACAATGACCACAATATAATTATTTTAATAAACCAAATATGAACAATTGAGGAAAATGAGGAAGAACTGATGATTCAAATGTTGTAGTACAAGTAGTAATGTAGTTTGTGCAGAAATTACCATGGCAACAAATGTGTTAATTTTCTTCATTATTAGACGTTTTCTTTGGACGAATGCTCTTGGGCCAGGGGTTACGATGGTGGGGCCAGTGATAATAAAAATGTCACTGGCCCGGATCTATAACTAGTTTAGGTACTGTAGTTTGAGAGATAATTAAAATAGCTACGTGTGATATTCTAACCTGAAGTGTGTGTTTTGTTCCGCTCACCGCTGCATGTGATTATGCAGAGCTGCGTGCCGACTCGTCAGCAGCAGCTGATCCCTCTCTCCCGTCAGATTAGACTTCACTCGCGTTTATGTCGATATCGATCAGATCTAGCTATTGAAAGCGATGTCAGGCACCCCAGCTGAGATTGTATATATTTCCGCATTTTAACAGTGCAATTAAAAAGTATAAATATAGTATAAGAATGTGGCAATTTGCCTTTATTGATAGCATACATTTAGAAAGAAAAAAATAATAAATGAATAACGAAATTGAAAACCGAATATTCGGATATTCGGGTACAGCCCTACTGTTCAGTTGGCTTTAACAGGATTATAATTGCTGGTTTTACTCAACTTCAATTGATTTTATTCACACTTCTCAATATACACATTTAGTGGTGGCATATAACTTAATATATCTACTGAAATCCTGTACTTAAATCCAAATGTAAGGTACTTAAATGTTTTCTTTTCATGCTACTCTTTACTTTTACTTCACTGCATTTCACAAGGAGATATTGTAATTTTACCTAACTTTTATTATTTGAGCGCTTTATAAGTAGTCTTTATAAATTAATCATTAAGTGAATTGACGGAAAGTGTATAAGAAACAATTTTGATCGATAAAGTACTTTGAAAAATATGTTTTCCTGATTGTAATCACATACTTTTACTTAGATTTTCCATGTAGCCCAAAATAGGACTTGGCTGTGTTTATCTTTTTATTGCAGTGTGAAAGTGTCCAGAGAAACATTTGCCCCAGGGCCGCAAGATTACAAACAACTAGGAAATACGGAAGGAATCACTTTGTGTTTATTAACACAGGGTAATACTTGGTTAAGTCTTATAGGCATTTAATTAGTAAACTTAATTGGTATTAAAATGTCTTCAAAAAATCTTTCAAAAGTGTTACAAATTCTCAGTGATTAAATTTGGGATTTTATAAATATGATGCACATATATTTTTTAAATAATTTACCAAATGCCTCTCGCAAAAATGTCACTGTTGATTTACTGACAATTTTATTCTGAGTGGCTTCAAAATGTCTTTAATCTAATGTGCCTTAATCTCCAGAAACATGGTCACAAAACGAATCACGAAATGTAAACAATATTTTCGATTTACTTTTTCTATGTTAACTTATGATGTGATTTGGTGTCATTATCGAGTACTTAATGGTTTGCTGCCTGTCTGCTGCAGGTAACGGACACGCTGGAGTACATAAAGTCGGACCACCACGTGGACCTGCAGTGTTACTACACCACGGAGCTGAGCGGCCTGAAGTGTGAGTACCCCGACAACATGTCCGGCCACCTGCCCCACAACGGCCTGGAGTCCATCCACATGGCCGAGCTGCGCACCGAACTCAACAAGCTGCGGCCCGACGCGCTGCTCTTGGAAGGCATAAAGCTCGAACACGAGTTCGGAGGGGGGGCGTTGTACGAGCTGCAGCCGTCAGAGGTGGGGAAGTCAGCAGGGGAGGCGGCGGGGCAGGGAAGGTCGACCAAAACCCAGAACGCCACGTTGAGAAAAAATCGCAACATGCAGGGGGAGAAGCCCTTCTCCTGCACGCAGTGCGGGAAGAACTTCAGCACGTTGGGCAACCTGAAAACTCACCAGCGCATCCACACCGGGGAGCGGCCTTACACCTGCTCGCAGTGCGGCAAGAGCTTCGGCCAGGCGGGGAACCTGAAGCGCCACCAGCTGATCCACACGGGGCAGAAGCCCTACGTGTGCGCGCACTGCCCCAAAGGCTTCACCAAGGCCGACGACCTGCGCTCGCACCAGCGGTTGCACACAGGCGAGCGGCCGTTCATCTGCGTCACCTGCGGGAAGAGCTTCGGCCAGTCCAAGGAGCTGAAGGCACACCAGCTGAGCCACACAGGAGAGCGGCCATACTGCTGCCAGCACTGCGGCAAGAGCTTCACCAAGGAGTCCAGCTACCGCAACCACGTGCAGATCCACACGGGCGAGAAGCCCTACACCTGCTCGCAGTGCGGCAAGACTTTCAGCAACTCGGGCGTACTAAAAACCCACGAAAAGATCCATTCGGGCGAGCGGCCTTTTGGCTGCACGCAGTGTGGGAAGAGCTTTGGCCGCCTTGGACACCTGAAGGCTCACCAGCAGATCCACACTGGGGAGCGGCCGTACGCCTGCCCCCACTGTGGGAAGACTTTCAGCCAGTCGGGCCACCTCAAAGCTCACGAGCAGATCCACAAGCGGGATCGTGCCGACACGGCCAATGGCGGCAGCATCGGCAGCAGCAGCAGCAGCAGCAGCAGCAGCAGCAGCAGCAGCAGCAGCGGCAGTGGGGGGGGCAGCGACAGCAGCTAAACTCCACACCCTTTAACCTCTCGGAGAAACAAAGTATTATTCCTCTTTTTTTATAAATACTATATATAAAGTTTTTTCCTTATGAATCTTTTCTTACATTTTCATACCTTTTGCATTATATCTGTGGGCAGGGTGCTCTGACTGATTTGCTCTTATGCAAGTGTCTGCGTGTGTGTTCATGTACTGTGTGTTTGTGTGTGGGTGGGGCGGGGCTGTAGATAATCTTTAAACTGAAGTCCCACAACTTATTCTGATACAAGCACAAATACTTCAGTGACCAATCTTGAGTACTTAATTTAGTTTTTTACTGAAAGAGACCAGCAGCTGAACCAGGACGCTGTTTACTCATCCTCAATACTATCATTAATAGTAGTAGTATTATTAATATTAGTATTATATTTCACCAGAGCTCAGGTGTTTCCTTACGCAGTAGTTCACAGTGAGTACTTGTACATGATAATGTGTAACAGAAATGTTTTGTACTTTTATAGTCTCATTTCAAATGTTTCTTATCTGGATTAAATCCAGAGGCATTTTACTTCACTACTGTTTGCACACAAACGATGATGGAGAGAGGTGATGTTACATTTAAAAAATAATAATAACTCATTAAAGTGGTACATATATGAAAGAATACTTTATTACGAGAAATAAATCAAAAGACTTAAGTGAAAAAACCTGAGAAATTCTCTGAGATTAAAGTGGTAGTTTTTTGTTTCAAAAACTCTTGTAATTAAAGGAGAAAAAAATCACGAAATTACATTTACATTGACTATTCAAATCTCAGAAAATTACAAGTTTTTTAGCTCGTAAATGTACGAATGTTATTCGCCAGCTGGTACAAATGAACATTTGCAGATTTGAAAAAAAATGAAATGTTAATTTACGTTAACATGAGCAAATGAATCTTTAAAAACCTAGATAGACCCTCCAGAAAAACGCGGGCAAAAATCCTTGATTATGCGGGCTAAATTCCTTGATTATGCGGGCTAAAATCCTTGATTATGCGATTAAACATGCGGGGTTTTATGTGATTTTATGCGGTGAAATTGCGGGAAGTTAGGAAATATGCGGAAAGTTGCGAAATATGCTAAATATGCGGGGGAAAAGAATAACAATTTTTAAAAATATTGGGCTGTCTTATTTATTCTCTCTCACACACAACCTGCCACTAACGTTAAACCCCTTTACTATTCAATTAAACACATTCAATGTTTATTTATTGTAAAAGCAATTGGGCTATTTTAATCTCACACACACACACACACACACATACACACACACACCCCCCCACACACACACACACACACACACACTTCTCCGCCTCATTCTGTTTTCATTTACTCGTTCGTTATCTGACCAGCTTCAATCTTGTAGGCTACTCACTTCGTTTCTTGTAGCCCTCGAAAGGGTTTTGGAGGTTGATGCCTCGGTTAACGTGCGTTGTTTGGCTTTCTTGTCCGCAGCAGCAGAAAGCATTTTCGAATGTTTGAATGAATCAAAGTGGGTCGTCACCGTCGATTTTCTCTTATGCTGCAACACACAGTTGCACGGGGTGCAGAATAGTTTCCCCCCACTTTTTGCCCGGTCTTTAGTAGAAATGTTCGTTGGTAAATGAGATGGATTAGATGTTTTCCTCTTGGTGTTTTCTCTATCGTGTGAGCTCCACACGTTCACTCTATACAGTGTTGTTTACATTCTGTGATGCGCGAGCTGATGACGTCACGTCAAGACGAGTTAACCTTTTTTTCTTCTCAACTTTGTGTGGAAAAATGCGGGGATTATGCGGCCTTTTGATAAATATGCGGCCTTTTAAAAATCTGCGCCATTTTGCTGATTATGAGGTAAATTCTGCGATCGCAGAATCGCGTTTTTCTGGAGGGTCTAGCTAGAAAGGAAAATAAATGGGAACTACATTTGTATTTTTTATTAATCTTTAAATGATGAAGGCAATTCAACTAACAGGGTAGTCAAATTATCACATTTTATTTTTCTCTATTTACAAAATTAAAGTAGATAGTTATGAGAGTAAATAGGGAACTAAACTCAAATCATATTAAATAAAATAAAAGTAGGGAGCACGATTTTTATTGGACCCAATATCAAAATCAACTTTATTGTCAATCTTTCAGTTTGTGTGTACAGACAGAGAAATCGAAATACAGTTTCCCACAATCCCGAATGCAATATAAGGATGTCTATACTATGAATTATAATCCAAATAAAGCATTATTACTATAGGAAATCAAATATATTCAAACCGATAGAAGAAGTACAGTGTGCAACATCTTTTTGATTTTTTATTGTATTTAAAAAAAAATTCTCATTTGACTATTTGAATATTTCATCAAGTTATGAACTTCTTTTTTTTAAAGTTACTATTGGCTGAAAAACGTCCATAGTGTGCATCCCTACTAAAATAAATGATGTATTGAAAATTAAACATTCAACCAAAATATAAAAACCTTTTTTTTTTTTACAAGTTTTACACTTTTTTTAATTAATTATTAGTCGAGTTGGCAGCTTAGTGAATCCGGAAATGTTGAGTTCTCAACGTTTTATGTTAGAAATATATAGTACGGGACCCACAGCCGGATGCTAACTTGCATATGTTGTCAAATGCATTATAACCTGTTAACAATAGTTAGCACAATTTTGGAGTGGTTTTAAATATTATTTAGAATACCAAATTCATTTTCTGATATTTTCAGGATCAGAAATGGCAGTTGTAACCAGAAAGTGGCCATATTTGTACTCTCAGTGGGCTGATTATGAATACCATGAGTAGTGTTGCGGACATTGGATATAGAGTACAATATGAACGTTATTATCTCTACTGTGGAACATTCTTTTTCACATAAATAACCAATCTGTCCAATCCGAATGATTCAGAGTCCCCTTAATCTTAAAGATCGACCCATAATTTATAAAAATCAGTCCACTGAGAGTTCAAGTATTGGCATTTTCTGGTTAAAACTGCCATATTGATCCTGAAAATGTCAGAAGTTGACTCTGCATCTTCAAGTAACCACAAAAACCAGTCTAAAATTGGCAAAGCAATTTTTAAATTATTGTCCCAGTCTATAATGGTAATTAACGCACTTATGCCAATTGACCTTTCGCAAAGCCACGCCCCTAAATGCCCGTTGTCCAATCATATTCGATCACGTGCGCGGCTCCCTGTGGAAGTCCGACAAGCTTAGCGTTCAAATTCATTGCGAAAATGGTGAAGCGTTGTGCTTATGGTCTTTGGAAATCGGATAGCAGATATCCCATAAGCTTAGAGGGGGGGGTGATATTTTACCCGTTTCCTAAACCCAAAACCCGAGATGCCGCCAGTGGATAAAGAAATGCGGCAGGCCCCATGCAAAGCTGAATATGGCGAATATCAACAAACACAAATACGTTTGCTCCAAGGTAAATACGTGCTAACGTAGCTAGCTAGCTAGCAAAGATTACATTCACAAATTAACTAACTAATTTAATTAACTAATTTCACTAACTAACGTTAGCTAAAGTCACACGACTACAGCTGTAAGCTGTGTGCTTCTCGGTCGTTTTGACCATGTATATCACTTGATGCATAATAATGTCTGAACAGCTGAGCTCCGTTATTACTCTACCTGTGGTCAAAGTACAAACAAGAAAGCCAACAGGCAATCATTCATTTATATTTTGCTTTAATCTTTGTAGCATTTTGTTAATGGACAGCCTACTGCCGACTTCCCTAATCCTGCTGCACAAGTGGGCACCCCGACCCCCACAAAGGAACAACAAGGTGGATGCAGAAAGCCACCAAGGAAACGGTAGTTAACTTTAGACAAACTACAACATTTAATGCCTCTTGTGATTGTATTGTTTTATTCCAAAATAATAATAATAATTCCGTCGAATTTGACATACAGCTCATGTGGTTTTTCACTCTTGCACTGCGACCTGTATGCAAGTGCCTCTATTGATGTTGTGCCTCCCTCTTTTCTAATGTTTATACTGTGGATATAACCCTCCATAGCGTATTGTAGCCCCTTTTGTCGGGACCTGGAGGATATTGCTGCGTTATTGCTCCAAAATGAGTCTGTTAAGGCGAGTCCGACGTTACGGAGACCCTCCATTATGGCTTTGTTTAACACATCTGGCTCTCAGCTTGCAACAGTAACCAAGGGGGGGGGCGTGGCTTTGCGAAAGGTCAATTGTACAAATTGCCCAGCATATGCAAGTTAGCATCCGACAGTTTCTATGTGCTGGGGACCCAAGCTATACATTCCTAACATAAAAGTTCATTTATTTGTTCACAACAGGACTATATGAGCTAGCAAATAGACCATATAGATACTTTAACCACAAAAAATGAAATATTGGCTTTTTCTTTTTTGTTGCTTTTCCTAATTTCCTCTGCTGGTTTTTACCTCAGACAGCACCGGTGTCCATGATTACAAAGTCAACATTTAAGATAAGTTAAGATGCTTTCAGGAAAAATCCCTGTAGAAACATGCAGACTATAAATCATTTTGTATTTTTGTTAAGCAGGGTCCTGGTTCAGTTAAAGTACATTTCAATCTTTTGCCAAGTGTGTACAAGTACTTCCTGTTTGAGTACTTCCTGCCAGTTTACTCGTGTTTCCTTCCTGCGTTGGGAGTTTACTGTATTGTTAAAAACCTGATGATATCATTTAGTTATTTTTTATTGAATAGAATTGATCAGGACGATAATCTGCTGATACGACATTCCTCTTATTGGTTTTTGTAGCAGGATTAAAAATCATTCCAGTTTTTAGCATCGTCGGGCTCCACAAGGACCAAAAAAAACCTGACGGCAGCACAAAGAGCCCGACTCACCGATCGCTCACTGTGGACACATCTTTATTACCGCATTCCTAATAAAATGTAAAAAAAAAAAAAAAGAAAGAGCGTCTTGTACTGGAAAAAGATTATTAAAGAAACTAATGACAAGCCAGCTGTGTTTTTGCTTTATTTCATTTTCTTTAGACTTAACTAGGCACTCATATTTTTCAAGGTATAACACCACATTTTTATGTTATTACAACACATTTCTTGTCATGACTACCTACGAGTGAAACTTAAGTATGAAGTAATTGTGCATAAATTGTTTACATCTTGACCGCCAGGGGTCAGTGGAAGTTAATGTTGAAATAACCAAACTTCTATTGTTAAATTATTCTTATTACCTTCATTTAAAAAAATAAACTAATAGCATTTTATTTCTCTGACTATTTAAAAAAAAAAAATTATTAATAGCAGTAGAACTGTATTTTTATTACATTCTAATGTCAATCACTCTCAACTGTTTTACGTAGCTTTGAAATCATTTTCAAATCTGAGTTTTCTCCAAGAAATATATTATTATACCTATTTTATATATATTTATGATTATAATTTGTCCATTTTAATTTCTATTAATTAATTAGAGCCTTAGGTTCTGTTTGACTTTACAGTTAAATGTCTTCCTTTTTTTTCAAATGTTTAAAAATCTAAATGATGTATTTAATAGAAATGCAAAATATGACAGCATCCTGTTTTAATCTTGTCTTTAACATGACAAATACATTTCCTGACGTTAAATTAGGGCTGTGCGATTATGGCAAAAATCATAATCACGATTATTTGGGTCAATAATTGATATTACGATTATTTTGACGATTATTCATTGACCATCTATTGAACTTTAAAACAAATAATATTTGACCAATAAACAAGATCAACAAATATGTTGGAGCGCACTTCCAAAACCATACTAAACATATATTAATATGATAAATAAAAATAGATTAGCAGGGTCGGCTCTAGAACAAATCGAATGGGGGGGCAATCATTTACCAAGGGTTGGCACACACTGCCGTCAACAACCAACACACAAACAGCAACGCAACTTCAATTTCAAAAAAACAAAAATGCTGTAAAGTCTATTGTCTTTCACACACATTGCTAGGGTGTAGTGCTATAACGAGGCGAAGTCCCTCCCCTTCCGGGAGCCTCCATGGGACCCCGGAAGCGGAAAATTATACATTGAAGTCAATGGAGAGAGAAAAGTTATCTTTTGAGCCCGTTTGAATTGTGCCACGAATGACACATATGATGTTTGTCAATCTTAAACAATCATTTCCATGTAAAAAAAGTCACAGTTTGTCGTAAAACTGTTGAAATATAAGACTATGAAAA